CCCCAAAACCCCAAACCCCCAAAACCCCAAAACCCCAAAACCCCGTGCGATATAAAATAAATATTTCTGTGATATGGAAGACCTGAAGACTAATGAGTCAAGCTTGCTCAAGTCTAGAGACCAGATTGGTGCCACTAAACAGAGCTCTCCTGAGAGTACTATGGGAGGTCATGATAAGAATATGCTTAACTCTGACATACCTGAGGAGCGCACTTTGGGCAGCCAGGCTAGTTTGAAAAGTAACATTATTCGAAATTAAATTTTCTTATGGTTTTCAAAGATTTCATAAGATTTTTGGCAATTTAGTGAATCTTAACTAAATAAAATAGGGGATAAGGAAGTACTAAGCTCGAATAAAATCAAGAAATTACTCAGAATGAATGTAGAAACCGTATATGCTAAACGTATTGACAGTCATTACATATTTTAGACCAAATAGTTGATCCAGCATTACAACAATTCACTAGGATAATTAAATAAAAACAAGCGTAAGTCTCGTCTTCAATTTCCAGGGATCGGATCAGCAAGAGAAAGGAAGATATCCTCAGCTCATTCCAAAAGATCTTGAACTTCGAACAGAGAGACTCGGAGGAACATAATGTTTCATGCGAAACCAATGACTTCTAAGGGGACTAGTAGGAATATCTTGAATCCAGAGTCCAGGCTGAAGCCCTCAGGCACTATACCTGCTGTCAAGAAGCCTAATATTAACGATTATGCTATTCTTGCGACCAGCAAGAAGCAGGCAAAGGTAAATAAGTCAGCTTGAATATAGGTTCTACCTTATAAACTTCAAAAGAATGTGCCTAGAAGTAATATTACTTCAAGGAGACGAACCAGAAAGAAGCCTGTTAAGAAGGAACCAAAGGAAGATGAAGACAATGGAACTAACATATTTGAACTGACTCAAGGAGATCCCTTCTCCAGCCCAAGTGCTAAAGAGTATCAGCTTGAGAATATCAGTAAGAAGGTTCAATCTACTCCTGTGTTTAAAAAGAAGAAGCAGAATTCGTAAGGAATTTGATCACTTTAGAACCCAGATGAGCAATTTTTTTAGCCCAAAAAGGCTCACTACCTTCTCTAATACAGATCAGATAGGCGTTAAGCCAACAAAGAAGGAGAAGGCTATCATTCAAATGAAGGATTTCGAGGGTTAGCTAGCACCTCTAAACCTTTAGAAGACTATAATGTTGAAAGGATGCATCAGAAAATAAAAGAAAGAGTCAAGACTGAATACCAAGGATTTCTCGCGTATGACTCAAGTATTTGAAGAAGTCTGACTATGAACACTGCTGTAGTGCCAAAGGATCAATCAAGTATTTTTCCTTCTAATTCTTCTTAGAGACATGGAAAGTTATTGGTGAAGAAATAGCTGAAGTTACTAGGAAGCCTGACGTTGCTAGGTTCCTTCGTGAGCAGGATTTCAAGGAAGAGCTCACTTCTGTATTCTTTCCTCACTAATTTGAATAGAAAAAGAAGAGAGATCTTCTCAAATTTAATCTCAAAGCAAAAAGAGCAGAATTGAAGAAACTAAAAGTAGAATACAGATTCCTCTGTATCGAAAAAGTCAACTGGTGGGATGAAAAGAAAGATACCCTCCGACAAAAGATCAATCAGTGCCAATGGGAAATTGACTTTGAAGAGCTTGAGACTGACACACTTAACCACATGATTGATAGAGATAATGTAAGCAACCTTAGAGACCTATAGAAATTGCTCGATATCAGAAAGATCAGATCAGCTGAGATCCAGTCCGAACTTGATATCTTGTCCCAACAGATTGGTATTTCAGATGTCCAGAATACAATAAAATTGAATGATGTGGCCAACATCAAGGGAAATATTCGTGCTGAAACCCAAGAATGGGAGGTAAAACAGTCTTCTATCTCTTTAGTTCATGAAATTCAAGAGAAAGAAGCAGCTCAAGAATGCTATGCTAGAGCTCGAAAGATTTACAAGGTATTTTCCTCCCTCATCATCAGGCTCAAAGAAATATTTGAACTAAAATAAGGTTAAAATTGAGCAAGAAAAACAGGATTTGATCGAATATGAGAACAAAATACAATTTTATAACACACAAATGAACAAGAAGCGTAACCTTTCTAGTCATGCATAGATGCTAAAGACAAGATTCGTCGTAACAAGAAGATCACAGAAATGACCTTGAAGTACCAATCTGAGGTGAGACTCCAGGCTAATAATTACTCTCAATATTTCTGCAGAGATTATTCTCATACTTTGTTGTAGTTTGTGAAGCTGAGGGTGAACAATTTCGAAACCTTCTTGTCTATGAAACCAAACCTGATCAAGGTAGACACTTTGGAGGAAGAATATCAGCAAAAATTGGAAAAAATGAGAGTTTTAGAGACTAAACTAGAGGTCTTGAAGCTACAAAAATTACAAGAAGAAGAACAAGAGAAGAACAAATTGGAGCTTCAGAGCAAAGCTCTGATCGAAAAAGTAATTTCTCATGCTAACTTTACCAGAATAATCTCTTGACTTCAGCTGAAGATATTTACAGGGAAGATTTGGTGGAGATCAAGGCTGCTCACACAGAGAAAATGCGACAGAAGGTATACATCCAACTCTTATTCTTAGCTATACAAGATTGCAGGTGTCGAACAAGACAAGAGTGTTCTTCTGCCTATTGCAAAAGAGGCTCAAGTGAATTTTAGTAATCTGATTAATTCTCTTGAGAGATTACACTACGTGATCAAGACAAATGGGTTCCTTCAGGTACAACTTCTTGTCATCTCTAGGAGAAGAAAACAAGGAAGAAGAAAAAAAGGAAGAAGTCAAAGCTACTATTCACAAAATTCACAGCTGTCAAGAGCCCAAGGAAGACGCATAAGCAAGACTTCAAGTTTTCCATGACCCAAAATCTGTAGGATTACGAGTAATGCTTAGGTACAACACGCTCAAATCAGACACAAATTCGCTACATGCTGGGAGCAACCTCCTTGAGAAGCCGGGCTCCGAAGACAAATCAGACATGTCTTCATTTCAGAGGTAAGATAAGCCATCTGAAATATAGATCGACTGAGCTAGCAGAGATCTCAGAATCCGAAAACGTTAGTGATGCCAGTGCTTCTCAAAGAAGCAGTGAGACTCCTGTGGAGATTCAAGAGGTTCAAAAGCTCGATCTTTATAACGGAAAACGCAAATATTTGTTGTCTATTGTGGGAAATGTAAGTGTACTAACCACCACAAGTGCATTTGTAATAAAAACTGAAGAATTCATGCAAATTTTTAGTCAGAAAAGCATGGATAAGGTTAGATATCTTTTCCTGAACACTTAGTTTCCTCGAGCTTCAAACTTTATGGCAAATAGCAAGTGTAATATTCTCTTATAAAATATTTTGATCTCTCAGAGAAGGAAATCTGAAGCCGTCTAAGACACTATAATTTCTTATTTTAATCTATAGATCATGTACAGGCTAAATCATGATCCTTTATGGCTCAGTATTGTCAATAAAAGCAGGAAGAATTCTGAATCCAAGAATTAATAGACAAGTTCTAAACCGATGATAAATAATATTTGTTAGCAGGGTTCAGACAAAAATTTGTTCTTATCAGGGTCAGTTTTGGTGCTATTTAAGTACCTAGAGATTTCAGCCCTTGATTTAAAATGTTCAGTCTTTTGTTAAGACTTGTATGAGAGCTTTTAGGGAAAATAAGGTCGGTTCAACCACCGAATACTGCTCAGGGGTTTTGGGGTTTTGGGGTTTTGGGGTTTTGGGGTTTTGGGG